AAAAAAAAAAAAAAAAAAAAAATGTGACTTTTTTTTAAATTTATTTGATCCTTATGTCATCATTAAACTATGAAAGACATTTCAGGAATGTCAGATTTCCAAGAAGATCAATGTATTGAGAACATCAAACGGTTTTAACAAATTGAAACTAAAAAATATATTCGTGAAAATAAATGGTCTGAAAATTATACTTTGAAGTGACTATCATTTACACATTCCTTAGATAATCAAATATATCTAGAAGAGAGTTAATAAATTAATACTGATAAATTTTCTATTAACTTGAGTGTTCGTGATTGAGCAACGATTAATTTTGATGCGAACCGATTTCAACATTGATTTAACAATAAAGAGAACGTGTTAATTCTGATGCGATGTAAATGAGAACAGTTACAATAATGGATATGAAATCACGTGTGAAATTACTGAAACACAATTTACGATATATGATTATTAGCAAGTGAAATATTGAAATTGTGAAATATTTGTATCAGTATTCAAAGTGCTTATTATCAAGTTTTAATTTTATTTATTAAACATTTCTTATTAATTACAATTCATTTTTACTTATAAATTAATTTAATTAATTATCATTATTATTATGCATTTAAAATTTATCTCAATTTTCACTAAAAATGAAAATTGTTTAAAACTAATAGAGTTCTGTTTATTAAATTTTAATTTGACATTTAAATTTATGAATATACTTCATTATCATAATTATCTCGATTTATTCATATTGATTATACTGACTAACTAATATTTACATAGATAAAAAACCTGCTAATCATAATTCGTATTAAACAAATTTTACTAGAAGTTAAAAGAAAATTCAAAATAAAAGATAAAAAATATATCATGTTTCTATTTTGCATTCCATATATTTTTATATTTTTGTGCATTTTTGTGCATTTTTGTGCACATACAAAATTTAATTTTAAAATTTAAAACTGAACTAGCATTTATTAAAGAACACTTGTTAACTTGTCAACCTAAGTCGAAGTATCATGCTATTATCTCTGTAAATTCAGTGTTTTTACATGTTTTTACATATTTTACTCTTAGTATTTATAATACAACGAGAAAAGTAATATTTCAATGTGAAAAATAATAAATTAAAAATAGAATAAAATTTTTTATTTAAACTTTTCCTAAAAAAAATTAAATTATTTTCCAGTATAATCGTTCCCTTTTTCAATTATATGATTAATTATTGATCACTAGAACATTGAAACATGCAAATAAACCATCAGTGAAAATTACAATCATTTTTAAAACAGTCACGAACTAATACTTATTTGAAGTATTTTTATAAATACAAAGAATAAATTAGATCTAAACTAAAAAATAGGAGTAAAGCCGCATATAGCATGCATATGATTATTTTAAATCATATTTATCTTATTTAAGATAGTATCATATATATCTTATTTAAGTTTATCGTTCATTCTTAATTGATTCTCATGGATATTGTTTTAATAATCTATTTAAATAAATAAAAATTTTAAATTAAATCATAATTTTTAAAAATATTATCAGCTTCTTTCAAAAAAATTTCATCATATCGTTGTTATTAATGTACTGCGAACATTATAATGTTTTGTTGATAGAAAATATGTAAAGAAATGCAAATGATAAAAAATGGTAATAATTAGCATTAGCATTACTATTAACATATGATTTTTGTGATCTTAACATGAAAATCTGACGTTGAAAAAAAAAACATTAAACGAAAAATCCATTATCTATTATCGTTTACCACTCCTATGTATACATTTAAAATTAACTTTTTTCAAACCCGATATATATAGTTGCACAATAATTGATCAATGTTTCTTCAATCTCAATTGCACTCATTAATGAATATGAATAACGAATAGTGTTACAAATACATCGATTGAAATATTTAAAGAACGTTACGATTTATTTATTTGAATATAGTATTCATTGATTTGCGTTTTATTAAAAATCGTAAAATATTCAATATGTAAACAAGATACTGAATAATACACGTTTATGCACGTTCTAGTAATAACGAATTTTAACAATCGTATATAAAAATAAATTTATATATTAATTTATAATTATGAAAATAAAATTCTTGTTATAATACATTAGAAAAATAATTTTTACACTAGAAAAAATATTTATTTTTTATACATTGTTTATACATTATTTTCTTCTAATATTAAAATTTACTTAACTAAAGTTTTAAAATTTAATATATATATGCTGTATACAATTGATGATATATATGCAAATTTGAAAATTTATTTTAAAAAATTTTGGAATATTAAAAAAGATTAAAGGTTAACTAATTTATTATTAGTAGTCTATTTTGTCACGTGCAATTCTTAATGATCTTAATAACTTATAAATATTCAATTACGCTTTAAACATATTAACAAATAATAAATGTAAGAATTTTCGCAGAAATTTTGAAAACAAATAAAAATTTTCAAATAAAAGATATTAATAATTCAACGCTAAATTCTGTAAATAATGAGAAAAATTCAGTCATATTTTGGTTTATAATTTGCCTTATTTTTTTTAAGAATACAGTATAATTATTATTTATCATTTCTTTACTATTATTTTATTTGTTAGAGATTCTATCATATGTATTATTATTTATTCTACATCTTAAAAATTCATCAAGGTATATTTAAAAATATATAATAATGGTAGAAATCTGTCTATTAAAAGATTTATAGAAATCTAGTATTTGATGTATAAATAAATGTAAATATTGTCATCTAATTGCAAGAATAATTAATCTTTGTTAAAACCTTGACATATTAAAACATGACCTATACATATGGTTTTGTATAAAACTAACATTAATTTTAGAATAAAGATTAGAATTAGAAAATATCTACCTCTAGGATGAACTAGTATTTATCTTCCATTATCAGTCTTATTAACAGAGTACATAAATCAAGAAGAAAATTTTATTTTCTTTTATAATATAAATTCATCTTGTATTTTTTGGTTATATAAACAATATATTTTATATATATATTATATATGAAGCTTTTTAATGAAACAGATTTTATCCATTGAATTTCAATTTATAACTTATTACTTTTTTTATTGCGTGTTAGATCAATTAATCGAGATTTTTCAATATTAAATACGTGTTTCCAAAAATAAAAAAGCATTTAATTAACAAATGATTTATTAAAAGAAATTATGAAAGAAAAATAAAAAATTTTAATGAATATTTTGATTTTAATTTAAAGATATTTAATTAATTTAATTTAAGGAAAAAGAATGAAAATTTCGATTGTAATGATTCGTGATATTTTACATATCATTTATATATTATTCAACGCGAATTATTATGATTAATTTAATAATTAATAAATACACGATTTAATAAAAATGATATACAACTTTCGTGAAATAAAGTCATAGATACATTCGAATTTAATAAGCATTTCTTTCTATTATGTAATGCTACTTACCAATGATCGTAATTTTATAAAATTATACAAAATGCCGGAACTATTTTTTTTTTTTTTTAATTCTTAAATACGATTGTAAATGTCAAGGTTACTCATGTAATAATTCGAAAGTTGAATGACTTTATGATGATGTGTCGAATGTTTTAACACACTTATATAATGAAGCTTTTTATCTTTTTTTTTTATTCACAGTTATATATACAGTTATTCTATATTTTAATTTCTGTTATATATATGCATATAAACACTTAGGATTGGTTCAAATGAAAGTTTCGCAGAAAGAATAATTTGATGTAATAGAATTTTTTTTATAAATGAACACGTGTCTAGTATTTGAAGATCAACTTAGCTTGTTTCAATGAAATTATATATTTTTAAATATGAAGAGATCGATTCATCTCGTCATTTCTTATAATAAAATTATTAAACAAACTTTTGTATTCAGGTTAAAGAACATATCTTTAAACACTTATGTAAGAAGATAAAGATTATATTATACCGTAATATAAATAGATATAAATATAAATTCAAATTTTTCTTCGACGAATGATATAAAAAAAAAAAAAAAAAAAAAATAGAAAATTTTATTGATGGAATTACTTTTATAATAATATTTTTTTAACAATACTTTTTTAATAATTTTTTTAAAATGATGTGTAGAAATGAATTCACTTATGTATTAAAAACGTAAGATTTAATTAATAAAAAACAAATTTTTTTCTTATAAAAAGATAAATTTGAATCAAAATTATATATTGTTTCAGCTTTCGTATTTATCATTATGCCAACAAAGACTAGGATTAAAACTATGTAAATTCACAATAATAGTGATTTTTATCAATTTTGTTACATATTCAAAAACAATCATGTATAACAATTAAAAATAATTATACTCGTATATTACTTATTCAAACGAGAAGTTTTGCTTTTACTTCTTTTTCGGAACCTAGTGACACTTAGGATGCAATTAATAGCGAAACTAAGCGTATATTGCAACCAAGAAAATCCAGTATATCTATCTAAATTTGAAGTGTAGTATACAAGTTGTGACGAAATATAGAAAGTAATTTCATCAAGATTGTAATCTAGATTTTCTATTTTTTTCAGTTCTTCAAAATACAATAAATATAAACGGATTTGTAATGAGCAATTATTCTTAAATGCGATGCATTTTTTTACGTTCAGGTTCATTGATTGCTGCGAATTTGACAATGTGAAATACACGTTGCAAGATAAGTAATAAAATATACATACATATAGTAAATTGAATATGCAGATACTGTACGTGGTTGAAAATCTAACTTAGTAACTTATATTTCGAAATATTGAAAGTAGTTTCGCTTTTTTTTTTTTTCTGTCGTTCGATTGACCCGTAACTTTTTGTTTCACTTCATGCTCTTGAAAAAAAAAATATTGAAAAAAAAAAATGTGATCATTTTGAATTTATTTTTTCACTTTGCAAATGTGACATCATTAAAGATTGTTTTTCTTAAAAATTCTTCTTTATAATTTTTTTAAATAATAATATTATGATATATATAATAGTAAAATATGTAATAATAACAGATTAGAAAATAATACAAGAAAATGTAAGAATAATGTATAAGAAAAAGAAATTGAGGAAAATTAATATATATAAATTTAGTTATTAGTTCCAGTAATAAATTATATTAAAATTAGTTAATTTTAATCTTGAATAATAGTCATAAAGAATATAGATGCTCTATTTTTAGAGCATATCTACATATTTAAAAGGAATGGAAAATATCTATGGATGGCATAGTTGATGAAAAATAAATTATCCTTGAATAATAATCATGAAGAATATAGATCTATTTTTAGATCATACCTATTTAAAAGAAATGAAAGATATCTACGCGTGATATAGCTGATGAAAAATCGTGATCGATCTTGGTTATAATGAATTAGATTTTAGAAATATCGTTTTAATTAATTATGGATCTAGCATCGATTCACCGATATCGATTTATAAATTTTGTCTATTTTTACGATAAAATAATGAAAAAAATTAGAATATATAAATCGCACTAATATCCTTTAAAGAAATATCTTTTAATTTTCAATTTTTCGAGGAATACACATCTGATTAAAATCTAAAATTATCAATTGAAAAATGAATAAAATCTCATTATTAATAATTATATCAACAATATTAGAGATATTTTTCTCACAGGAAAATTCTAAATCTAATAATCAAAATTTTAATATCTCGATTACTTAAAATCATCACAATATTAAAATATTTTTATATTACTTTTAACGAAACTCACTGTAGAAAGAATTGGTGTGTGAATCATCCAGCTTTTCCGTCCGCAACGTGTCCTTGCTCGTCTCGATCGTGTGATTCCTCTGGTTCTCGATCAGCTCGATCAGCGTGAAATTGTTCGCGGATATGGTTTTATTTCGTGACAGTACCAGAAGAATTTCTTCCTCTTCCAGGGTGTTCAAATTGTTAGATGTCAACACATCCACCGATTTTCCGGCATACGACAGTTTCACTAGAAAAACTATCGT